CCTCATGCTTGCCTAACCGCGCACCCTAGGTGTCATTTACGCGCTTCTGATCGTAATTCATCTCACAAGGTCGGTACCTTGCCCCCTGCTGCGCGCCATCACGCACCGGCGTGCTCGTACTTCCCGGGCCACGCGTTGCTACCTGCGATATGCCCTTGCGTTCTCCCCGGCTCTCAGCCTTATTTACCCTAGATGCTGCCGAAGTCAACCACGCCGGCCAAAACGTTTTTACTGCGCGCTGCCACATCGATGGCTCCCGACCATGGAAACTCTCTGGTCGCCGCTCCGCGCGCACTCGCAAAATCTCTGTTTGCGTGCTCGCAATACCCAGAGTTGGCGCGAAGTCCGTCGGCACCGAACGATGCAAGCCCGCTCTTTCTTTCCTTCCGCGCACCTCCTCACGTGCAATCGCACCATCTGTGGCGTGAACTCGCGTCTCCGATGGCAACGCACGTGTCTCCCGCGTGACGTCACTCCGCTCTCGTCGAGCGCTTACCGCTGCATTCACCTCCGCCTTTAAAGTTTCCAGCAGTCCGACCCGCGCCGATGATGCGCTTCTCGCATCAACGACAGTCGGTATTTCACCTGCTAGAAAATCGTCGGCGCTCACAGGCGGTGCCGGTTCATGACGTACGCCATATAAAAATGCGCGAAATGCCCTGTCTTGCACGACCGCGGTCGTGCCGTCCGTAACTAATCCGTTCGACGTCATCCGTGTCAGCAATTCCTGAATTTGCATTGCCTGAATGTGCTCCTATATTGACTTTACTACAGGAATTCTCATAACCCGCCTTCTAAACGCTTCTGGCCGCGGCCGTGATTCCGCAGCTCTCCGATGCTTGGGCGATCTCGTCACCGGCATCGTATTTCACGCGACCCCGCGCGGTAAACAAACAGGCACCAAAACAGACCCAAGCTTTCCTCGGCTTATTTCGCCTTCACTAGGCCTAAGCGCGTTTGTCCTCTTTGTTTTCGAGAACAGCACAACGTGCACAAGCCGGCATGCCCCTGGTGCGAATACGCAACACAAAGACTTTACTCAGCCTGTAAACACGTCTAACCTTGAGCTCACGCTCAGCAACAATCCAAACAGCCGAGAATGATCGTTGCGATTCTCGCAACTTTCAAATTCAGAAACACATTCCAACGTACAAATTTAACTAGCCAAAACACCCGGCTCGAGCAATCGCAATCTGCGTAATAACAACACACAAATTTACAGCGTAATCGCTTAATCACAACAACGCGATACTCGCCTCAGCCCGTTTCACTAGCTCCGGGCTTCCGCGTAACTCGAGCCAAATGCGTTGACGACACAATAATGACGAAAACTCAAAATGTCCCATGCAACTAAAATTTTCCCTTTTCCAGCTTATGTCCACGGCTCTCGTTCGCTACTCCGCGAATTCGCCGAAAAGCGCTGATCGGCCGAGACACCGCACTGTTCAAAGCTTATCACAAAGGGAATTATCGCGATCACCTCTTTCCAACCAGAACAAAGCGATGCGAACAACGAAAACCTGCCGAGATTAAACAAGGGATGCCATGCAAGAGTGGTCAGCCTCCGTGCGCCATGGGCTGGTCTCTGCTAATTTTTCTGGGTTCTTTCTCGGTAAAGAAAGCCGGCGCTGACTTTCATAGGCCGAAGTTCGCGCTGGCTGGGGAAGGTTGATACAAAGAAACGGACACTCTATTCACTGATATTACATATGGCGATCTCATTTATTGACGCCTTTTCACAAATATCGCTACAAGATTAACTTCGCCGCGGCGAGCGCGCTCGCTCAGCCTTTCCGCGACAAGAGTTTGCGAGATCACGCGAGCGAGATCGCTCAGCGTGCGCGATAACATCGAAATACGCAAATGTCCGTAATCGAGCGAGAGCTGGCGCGAGAGAGATAAACAGGCTTTCGACCCACCGGATGCCGACGGTCCATCGACAGAGAGACGACGCCGGCGGAAGCGCAGGCCCGCTGGAAACGGCGCCCTGGCGATGACTGGGACTGCTGCAGGAGAGGCCGCAGCACGGCCTTTGCCCCGGGGACGGCGAATGGTCGCTGCTAGTCCGGGCTCGGTTCGGAACACCTGGTTCTCCTGGCAAATAGCAGTCGTACTCCTGGCAGTCGTTCCTCTCTGGCCGAAATGTCTTCTCGTTCAGACTCTCCTTAGGCGGCCCTAATTACTCGAGAGCTCGCGCCTAACTGCCCTTCTTCTCTCTTAATTTTCCAAGCCTCGCGCCGCCGCGCTCCCACTTCTCTCGCCGTCAAAAATCAGTCAAAATCGCTCTCTCTCTCTCGCTCTTCTCGCTCTCACTCGCACTCACGGCGACACCTCGCCGATCGTTGCGCTCCTCTCTCCAGATCCTGCAACGACACAAGTATGTAGTCGCTGTATAGCGTATACTTGGTCGCTGCGTTCACGCGAGGAGAGTGCCGCACACAGGGCCAGCGAGCATCGCTATAGCCCTGTCACAGTTATTATTATTAATAGACTTGTCCTTGAATTTATATAGTTATATATATATGTGTGTATATTGTTAGAATATTTGTCCAAGAAATATAATCTTTTATTTTAGCTGGTCCTTATAATAACTAAATGTCCTTGCAATAAGTAATTATGCTGGAATTTGCCTGATCCTACGCTGTATACGTATATATATATATGATAATATGTTTTGTCGCGGAACGACTAAGCTATCATGCCTTAGGTGGCATGACGCCTTTATCTTCTTTTGAACTTTTTAATTTGTTGCACACGAGTGTTGATGATCGAAAGTCGGTGAAGGTGTTGAAATTAATTTACACTCACGTAATGGGAAAAAGCCGTCTGGCACAAAAAACCCATGATTTATTGAAATCTTAAAAAAAACAACACTAAACTAATACAAAGAAGAAAACGCAAATTACGCATAGAATGAAGATTCCGTGCTTAAAGGAATAAAAGAAAGAACGAGCGAATATTACAAATGATGTCGCGTGCTTACACACACACACACACACCGCACTGTACACTGATGAAATGATATATTGTGGTCGAGAGAAATCTCAGACACACAATTTTGATATAAAGGTGTACTCAATACACCTAAAATGAATTGAGTAATGAAATTGAATGCTTGATTAGCACCTCAAACGCCGAACGGTGAATGAGTATAATGCAACACGTGGTGACTTTAATAAATGAACTATTTTTTCACATATAAATTGACTTAAGATTAACTAACTGAACTAAGACTCGATAAAAGGTGCGCAATACGTTGGTTTGCGTCTTAACTATTCTGATAAGGGGCGCGAAAGCACACAATGACTTACTTTTAAGAAAACTAAAACGCTATATTAAGCACGTGTTCACGAGTTGAAGGCCGGAACTCTTTGTCGCTACTGACTGGCAACCGCGTGGCGAGCGAGCAATTAGCCGCAGCCGGCATGTGCTGCCGTCACGAGGCGCCCCAATCACTCTCATACACACTTACAAATAAAGCATTGACGTGTGACGACGGAACATAATACGTTTATTAACGCATTCGCGATTTCGTCACGCGTATACGTTAATCACTGATAAAAAGAATATAAATATACTGATTTTAAGAAATAATAATAAAAACTGGTTGACAAGAAACTGAGATGAAAACTGATTGTAAACAAGAAGGACAAAAATTTCAAAAGAACTAAATAAAAACTGTACGTAATTCTGAAGAGAATTGAACTGTGGCACGACTGGACGTGATTAACTCTGGCACGAGACTATTTTATTAGGCGTGGGCGATACAGTAATGCAGCGCGAGAGTGTTACTACGCAGTCACTGCATTACTACGCGGTTGCCGAACCGCCCACGCGCGCTAAATGCGTACGACTAATACGCGCGTCGCAATTATACATAATACTAATACATATAAATTTTTTTTTTTTACATTACATTATTACATACAGTGCCGGTCAGCCACTTTTACCCCCCCACGGGCAAAATCAGTCTAACTTCAAAGTTTTATATCTCTGGTAGAAATTAACGTACAGAGACGCGCGTCGGTGCGTTTGAAAGGTCTTTCGGAGAGCTTTCAAATGATATGACTCACGGTTGCCATAGATTGTTTTTTAAATTTTGCAACAATTATGCAAAATTGAAAATTCTGAAATTTTTTTATTATTTTTGACAATTAGCCAATTTTTGAAAAAAAATCGTACGAAAATTTGAAGTACACCATTTTTTAGCTATTACCAAGCTCTATCTGAATCACTCATCAAAAATTTATTTTCGTCAAATATGACGCGCGCACGGGCATTTTTTCCTGGAAGTGACAGTTTTTTTCAACATTTTTTATCTCCGTCAAATTGTAACAATCGAAAAAAATTTTATAGGAGAAAAAATGTTTGTTTTTTCACGTAGAATACTGCAATAATTTTTTTTTCGGTTTTTCGAAAAATTGTTTTCGATTGTTACAATTTGACGGAGATAAAAAATGTTGAAAAAAACTGTCACTTCCAGGAAAAAATGCCCGTGCGCGCGTCATATTTGACGAAAATAAATTTTTGATGAGTGATTCAGATAGAGCTTGCTAATAGCTAAAAAATGGTGTACTTCAAATTTTCGTACGATTTTTTTTCAAAAATTGGCTAATTGTCAAAAATAATAAAAAAATTTCAGAATTTTCAATTTTGCATAATTGTTGCAAAATTTGAAAAAACAATCGATGGCAACCGTGAGTCATATCATTTGAAAGCTCTCTGAAAGACCTTTCAAACGCACCCACGCGCGTCTCTGTACGTTAATTTCTACCAGAGATATAAAACTTTGAAGTTAGACTGATTTTGCCCGTGGGGGGGTAAAAGTGGCTGACCGGCACTGTATATCAGGATTAAGTGAATTTAAAAGTTGTCACTTAACAATATATTTGCCTCGATTTATTATTACAATGCTGGATTCAAATTTTTACATTATTTATTAAATAAATTTTATAAATGTATATTTTCAATTTTATTAATTCATTATATTATGATTGAAGGTGTTCGATTGCAATATAAGGCTCTTATAAATAGACTGACATGGCAGTGGGAAGAATTACCTTATAAACATAATGAAAATTGTTGTATTTTCAAAACGGCTATAACATTTGTTGATAGTGTTTGTGAAATATGGGGACCATTGATGCAAGGTCTGACATTAATAGTTATTCCTAGGCATATAACGAAAAATCCAGAAGAATTTATTCATGTTTTAGATAAATACAAGGTATTTTATTTCTAAAAGACGTGTATTATCTCCTGAGATAAACTATTAACGATAAATTTAATCCAATTGTTAGATCCAGAGAATTGTTTTGGTTCCATCTTTATTGAAATCTATGTTGATGTACATACGACTTCAGGTATATTTGATATAAACATCTTTAAAAATTATACAGAAAAATATCACTTACTATCTTTTTTCATTGATTAGCAAATCAGAAGCCACCTCAAAGAATTGAAATTATGGATTTGTTCTGGAGAAACTTTGTCGGTATCCTTAGTTCAAGAATTTTTTCATATATTCAATGGAGATAATAAATTATTAGCTAATTTTTATGGCAGCACAGAAGTTATGGGTGATGTGACGTTTTATATATTACGAGAAGATAACTATCATCAATATAATGATAAGATCCCCATTGGTAAGTATCTTTTTTAATGTAGACTCATTATAGAACATTATTCAGTCAAATAGGGTCTGAATTAAAAAAATGTCGCTCAATTGTTACAAATGTGTTGCCAACGGATTTTTGACCCTCAGAAATCCGAATCTGTAATTATTTTTCCTCTAATTACGGAAAAAATATCGGAAATGGAAAATTTAAACAATTTTCGCGATTGACTTGGAAACGGCTGGATTTAAGTAAAAAATAAGCAGAACCAAAGTCATGAATAGCAATGCATACACACTTTAATATAATGTTTGCTACAACGATATATAAATGAGCTGGAAATTTCAAGAGTCTACGCCAATGTTGCTCCGATCACATGGACCGACGGTGTGGCGATGGTAAGTTTTGAATTCAAAATCCCGGGACATGTAACTATTCTGTAAGTATCACGAGAGACAATATACAGAGCAGTCAATTTTATGTAGATTAAATCACTGAATGTAATAGTGTTATTTAATTTTACGATAAAATGATAGATTCATAGATAAAATATAATTTACTGATTGTGAAAGATATGTTATTTCGAGTGTGAAAAAATTTTTTTTAAATATATTTTCCCTCGCACACTTCTACACACTTTACAAGATATGCAAAAACTGACAGTCAAGTAGGTATTACATAATCTCTGAATACAATACATATTTAAAAATATTGCCCAACTAACTGCATCTGTTCAGAATTCGTAAAAATGAATTTTTTAATAGTTGAAAATGTTCTTCCAGCTCAAAGCTCTATATAATCAATCTTATTTCCTTCATACATAGTATACTTCTTTGTAGTGAAACATACGAATATGTTATATATCAATCAAATTAATTCTTTCATAGAAAAAGAAAATTTAATAATTATGCTTATTATTTGTTTTATATAAATTATCAAAAATTACTAGGAGGTATAATTTAAAATAATTGTTAGTCTAAACTTTCAGTAAACTAGAGAATTATGCGAAATCATTTTCCTACATCAGGCGAGTTTATTTATATAGTTATCAATATAGCTATTAATATGTTGGATTTTAAATAATACGGTTATCAGATAAATAATCATACACTCATTATTTATCGTTGCCATAAGCCTCAAATAAACGTCATAAGACAACTCGCCCGGCCTCTCGTTATGCCTTTCAAATCAAGACTATCGCGATCCCTTATCTGTCGTGTATATTGCATAGAAAATAATTTTGTAATTTGTAACGAGGGCAGCGCCTTATTCGGCACTGACGTCACCAATTTATTAAGGGGAGAGTAAGAGAGGCACTTTCGCTCTTTAACAATCAGGGAACGAGAGGATAGGTCGAATGAATAAATGATTTTCTTTAATAAGAACATACAACTTAAATCTATTCAGACAAACAAATACAAAATCGGTTATAATAAAAGTTTACCTCACGCGCACATGTACAGAACAACTTAAACTAACGCGGGAGGACGAATTGCCCGGCGACTAAATCGCCTTGACCATTCGCCTCCTTCCAAGTAAAAAAAAGATACACCGAAACCTCACTACCGCGTTACGATGAGCGTAGCCGGCAAGGGATTGCCTGGCTACCTATCGGTCCTACGCGGCCGCGCATCACCATGAGAGAGAGAAATATCGGGAGAGAGAGATAACCTGACCTTTGTCCTTGGCGATGAGCCGGCAACGGGGAGTTGACCTGGCCGCTGGCTGGACGTCTTCCTCGGCGTAGCCCGTGGTGAACCCACTGGAAGTCGCGCCGTGCACGGTGGCGAGGGCGACACTGAATGCCCTGCTGCAGGTGTTGTCGCCACACGTAGCCTCGTCTCGCCCTGGTCTGGTCACTGCTGCACGTGTACTTCTTTTTCTCTCTTTGCGCTGCTTCTTTTCTTCGCTACTTCCAACTTCTCTCCTTAACTTTCTTCCGGGAACTAGCTCACGCGACTTGACGCATGGTCAGCGTTAGCACTTTCGCCGGGCTCTCCCACCAAGCCCACTCATTAGGCGGCGTGCGACAAAAGCGCTAATTGGTCGCGCGTCACACGCCGGCCCAAACCTGCATCGTACGTGCATAGGCGCGCACTCCAGCATGCTCGCTAACTCTCTCTCTCTCTCTCTCTCTCTGTCTCTCTCTGCCTCATAGTCGCTGCGCTCTTGCTTCTTCGGGAGCTCTCAATCTTGCTCGGCAATCTTCGGCGGCTGTAAAAACATAAAGGCCAGTGGTTAGGCGCAATACATATATGCGCCCAACGCTGACCATGTCGCCATGCCGAGCGATAAGAGGGAGAGAGAGAAGGAGGGCAGACGAGGAGCAAGCGTACTGCTTGCTCTCGTCATAAATTGTAAATAAACATTTCAATTTTTGTTGAACCCTATAATATCTTGAAAAACTTAGTATTTATTTGGAATCATTGGTGATTTATACAGCTCGTTTCTTTTGAAACCAAAATATTTTAGTTAACATTTGCTGGATAGTTTATAATGAATAATAATTAGTAACTCAGTTTCGAAGACTTCAAATTTTTAAGTACTTGCAAGCAATATATGATTTTAAATACAATTTTATATAAATTATTTGATAATATTTAAATATATATTATTTAATTTTAAATATATTCTTATTTTTTACAAAACCATGAATTATTTTGAAAAATGATTGTGTGACGAAAGCAAGCAGTATACTTGCCTTTTGTTTGCCTCTCTCTTTCTCTCTCTCACCCTTCTTTTCTTGGCAAGGGATAATAAGTCCTTAGAAAAAGATAGCAAAACAATTTTCTTTGGTAGATTTTTTTTTATTTATTAACATAATCTCTTTTTATCTTGATACACTTTTCTAGGCGTCCTTCAAGTTTTTTTAAGCCATCAGAAAAAAATAATTTTAGAAGTTTCTCAAAACAGCCATTTGTTTGTGTTATGACCTCATTCGAGATTAATCGTTGTCCGGCAAGCCACTTTTTTAGATTTGTGAATAAAAAGAAATCATTAGGGGCCAAATCTGGTGAATATGGTGGATGGTCTACTAATTCGAACTTCGTTTCCTTAATTTTAGCCATTGAAACTAAGAAAGTGTGCACTCGTGCATTGTCTTGATGAAACAGAATTTTTTTTTGTTCAAATAAAGACGTTTTTCCTTTATTTTCTCGCTTAACCGGTCCAACAACGACGCATAATACTCTCCTGTGATTATTTGTCATTTTTCTAAATAGTCGACGAAGATAATTCTACGTGCATCCCAAAAAATAGTAGCCATCGGCTTCGTCGGCCGATTTCACTGTCTTCGCCTTGTTTGGAGCTGGTTAACCTTTCACAACCCACTGTTTTGATTGTTCCTTCGTCTCAGAAGTGTAGTAGTGTATCCATGTTTCATCAGCAGTTATGAATCGACGCAGAAAGTCGTCCGGATTACAGCGGATGCGCACCAAGAGGGCCTCAGCGGCCACCACTCGACTGCATCTGTTCTCAACTGATGTGATAGGAAATGCGGCACTCATCTGAAATTTTTCTCATGTCCAATTTCTCATGCAAAATCGAAATGACTGTACCTTTTGAAACCCCTGTGGCCTCAACTATTTCGCCCAATTTTATTCTTCGGTCACTCAAAACCATATCATAGATTTTATTGATCATTTCCGGAGTGCTCACGTTTACAGGATGGCCTGAAGGATGTTCTTCTGCAGCTGATGTACGGCCACGTTTAAATTCATTTACCCATTTTTAAACAGTTGCAAACATAAGGACAGATACACTATGAACTGAATTTAACTTTGAAAGAAATGTTTTATCACCGCTCGAAATTCACTTTTTTCCATTGTTAAGAAGAAACAAAAGTTCATTTTGATCGACGATAAAAACGGAACTACTCGATGGATCTGGCTGCAATTTCGACAGCACTCTATTTAATAATGACGCTTGCTGATGCAACATAAGTTAGGATGATTTTAGCGCCATCTCTTGGATTTTCTTAGAACTTATTGACTCACTCTCGTAAAGCGTTGACTTTGAGAATAGTCACGGGTAAGTCAGAATTATGTGCTTCATTTTTAACAAGCGTGCGTCTAGTGAAGTTTAAAATTGATCTAATAGAATCTTCTGGCTTAAAATGTATTTTACGACTACACTAAATGACACTAAATAAAGTACTATTATTTGGTTTTAAGCTAAACAATATAACTTTGGGTGTTAATGCTCATTCAAATCATTTCCTACTATGATAAAGATAAGTGTATGTTTAACATTGACTATGATTTTTTGATAATCTTCAGCAAATCCTAACAGCATACTAAGGGGAATGGTAACGTCAAAATAAGCGCCACTTCTTTGTCTTTAGTCGAGCCAGCATTTTTGGCAATTAAACTTTGACTTGGATGAATAACAAGTTCTTCATAAGACTCGCTAAGCCAACATTTTTAGCTTTATCTATTTCAATAGAGTCAGTGTTTGATCCTCGAGTGAAGTGGACGTACTTGTGTTACGATCTACTCGGAAATAAAAAATGTCAACCAATCAAGAAAAGATATTATCTTATTTAAATTAATTCCTAAAGTAGTAATAATAGCAGAACAAGGGCCAAAGGCCACACAGGAAGGAGGCAAGATATCTACACCTACGCAAAAAAACAAAGAAAAATGGACAACTGTAAGTGGTATAAAAAGTAAGGGAGAACTAAGTAGTACAGAAAATAAAATCAAAGTAATTAAAAAAAAACAAGATAACAAAAGCAGATAGAAAACAGCAATCCTAGTTATCGGACCACTGGCTGAGTCAATCTACCAATAAATACAAAGTTCTTAAGGACACATAAAATGCTGAAACGAACACAATAAATAATTGTATCGGTTCTATCTATGAGCTGTTAGACTATTTTCTGTACTAAAGAACTACTGTTAGACTTTTCACTGTATTACTGCAATACATCTATCAATTAGTATATTAAACAGCGCCACCTCACATACTTATTACTGTTATTGATAAATAAACCATTAATAATTTATTTAAACTCAAATAAAACTTCAAAT